TTGTGAACTGCTATTTCCGAGGTGCCTTGATAGTCGAAGCAGACTTTGTGCTGTTGAAGCTAGAGAGGTGAGCAGAGTAAGCCTGATTCCCTGTATGGACTTCTCTGTTGACATCCACCCTTTGCACTCATATGACTTTATGCAGTTGCGAGCGCAGAAAAACCTCAACTCAAACAAAGAAAGGATAGAGTGTCATGGTGTGATCCATGTTGTTTGTGGCTGAGCTCTAGATCTACTGCGTGACATCACATCAAATGTCTCAACGTCTTCTCACAGTCGGATTAATCCCGTGTTGATGTACCGTTCACATAATTTTTTTTTTTTTACACCTAGAGTAGTGAGTTTTGTTTTTGACTCCTATAGTTTAGGTTTTCTTTGATGCATCTCAGGAGAGATTTTGTTTCACGTGTCGCTGATTTGGACAGTGAACTATTTACTCAGTCGATGGTGTTTTGTTTTTTGTTTATTTTTCAGTGTGTTGTTTGATCAGTGAAATGGCTTAATGTTTTTTTGATGTGCACAGCTTTTGGGGTAAAATCGTGAAGAAAATGAGTGTATAATCAGATATATATTTATACATATTGCCTTGTAAATCTACCAAAAAGTTTCTTCTGTTTATCGGAGTGGTGCTTCCATGTTAATTTTGTCTGATGTCTGATATGAGCACTTATTGTTTTGTTGTTTGTTGTTTTCAAATCCCTTTAGCTGCGAGCATTTCGCTCTTGGCAGCGCAATGCCTCCCTCAAGTAACCACATGTCCTTTTGTCATCTGGTCAACGCCAGAGTAGAGCAGGCTTTGTAAGTCTGTAGGAGTGTGTAGAGCCTGCGTCGAAGAACTGTCAGGTTTGGGCGGTGAAGGAGAAGATGTTCAACGGTCTCCTCGTGGTAGTCACAGTGTCTGCAATGGGGTTCCCACATGGGGTTGATTCTGTTTATGTGCTTGTTGGTGTGTAAGTGTCCTGTGCGGGCACTGAAGATCACTTAAGCCTGTACTTATACTGAGCCCATTGTTTCAGAATGTTCTGGTGCTTTCGTAGTTTAAATGTCTTTGTGTGCACAAGTTGCGTTAGTTTTGTTTTTAGTTTAGTAGTAGTCAGTTCCAGATGTTGAGGTTGCCTCGATATTTTTCTGTCATTGAATTAATTAATTATATTTTATATTTTATTTTATTCTTTTATTCATTTTTCTCCTTACTTGGCTGGGGAAGTCACTTTAGAGTTAGATCTATATAGTTGAGTTTTTGTGTCATGGAACGTTGCTAGTGAAAGAAAAAAATAAAAATAATCAGAATCTTTCTTTATCGTTTTGCTTCTGGTTCAAAATGATGAGCCTAAAATTTGAGCTTTGACGACTTTACATTTTTTTCCATGGTGGAAAGTCAACAACAAACATTCCAGTTTGTGTTTACCTGGCAATAATCGCCTACAACAACCTCTGTCTGTTGTGTGGAGAAGAACCGAGTGTAGAGGAAAGTGATCAGACAGCTCGAGTTTTTCTCTAAATATACGCATCATAGCTGGTTCACTTTCATCTGACCACGGTTAAAACAAGATAAAATCAAATGGCTCTGTTTAATTTTCTCAAATCTTTGCAGACATATCTAAAAGTTGGATGACTAACAGACTCTAAAAGCCCATTCATAAAGGTCACTGCAAACTGAAGTTCTGACTCATTTTCTTTGATGATAGCCTAAAGCGGGTCAAAAAATTATTAGGGGATTTACATTACAGCATACACCTAAAAATAATTAAAACGTTGACCTGTGTTTCTTTAAATAAAAAAATAAGCAGTTTGTGGGCTAAGCTACTGTAACCTACACTGTAAGTCATTAATTTAATGATCATGTACATGCTCCTAAAGACTTTTTTATATAGGGCCTAAATTTTTAAAAATTTTATACTCAGGATCAAGATTTTTATTTTTATCAAAATAATTTTTGTTTGGTTGCTGTCCTGCAGAAGTGCCATGTAAAGTTTCGTGGATCTAAATGAACAAATGAGCTAAACATTTTTGTTTAATGCAGACAGACAAAAGTGAACGAGCTATAGTGTGAGTGAGTGCAATGTTTCCACTGGTGTACATATTGCTATGTGTTCTGCTGTTGGTCTGTCCCCATGGTTTTATGTACCCCGCATAATTTAGCAAAATTTGATCATTTTTTGCATAATTTCTGCTTATTTTCCTTTATCGTTCTTTGTTAAAATTAACAGAATCACATAATTTCCCATTTTTGGGCACAGTTTGCATAATTTCTGATTTTTTTTTTGCATAAAACTGCGGGGACAGGTTGGTCTTTGACTGCACAGAAACTGTACTGATAAAATGGTATGGAAGCAACATTGATCTTGGCACAGTGGCTATGTTGGAGATATTCCAATTATCTATTTTCTCATATATATATATGTATTATTATATATACTATTTACAACCCTCGCTTGTTGGTGTGAGGTTTTTGTGAAATTTTGTTTGTGGTCATTTAAAATTGCTATTTTCCTTGACAGGATGGCTGCCCATTGAAACATTTGCTTCTCAGTGTCTTTGGACTTAAACTTCACCTTTGTACAAATTTCACAATTTTGTCGTGTCAGTTTTTTAAATCTTTTAGTTGAGGAGCATAAAATTGTCTGTAAAAGTGTCGCCCAGAGGGTCACAATTGAAATACAGGCTGTCGAGAAAAAAAGAGAGGGCACACTTTATACTTTAAGGGTAATAACTCAGTCAGCTCTACACTAATTACAACCAAAATTATAACAAATAAAATTCAACCAAGGAGACGTCATTTATGTAAGTGAAGAAAATCTATCAACATGTTCGAGAAATATCAAGTTTTAAAATGTTCAACCAATATTTTGGTAAAACCCAAAATTTTACTTTATAGTGCAGTAAAAAATTTGGGGCACAATTTATTGTCCAATATTTCCCAAACTATGGAACATAGACCTTCCAGATTTTGCAGCATGACTTGTATCAATTTGTCTGAACAGATCAATGTTTTTGTAAACACCTGTTAGCTATATTCTAGAAAATTCCTTAATAAACACTAATAAAGAATCCAAGTGGGTGGTTTCTACAGATTTTAAAAGGTTTACAACTGGGGCAATGTCGCGTTTAAGAGCAAGCCAGTCATGTTTTTCGTCGAAATACATGGAATGAAAATGAAATAGAAGAAACTGGCATATTTCTGCCAGTTTTGACATTTTTATCATTTTTGTTTTGTTTTTTTAGCTCAACGCCTTTGACTGTCCCCGTCGTTTTATGCAAGAAAAATTCTGAAATTATGCAAACTGCGCCCAAAAATGTGAAATTATGCGATTCTGTTAATTTTAACAAAGAATTATAAAGGTAAATAATCAGAAATTATGCAAAAATTATCAAATTTTGCTAAATTATGCGGGGTGCATAAAATCACTGGGATAGACTTTGATCATGATGACCATATTGTAAAACATCTTTCTGTGCAGAATTTGCTGGGTGGAATTTGCTGGGTGGAATTTGCTGATACACGTCCATGAAAGGCTCAAAAATTGTAAATGTTCAGTTTCCAAGGACTCTCAAGCTATGGAAGTCTTCAAACTCTAGCCACCATTTTCTCGCTAATTTTACCTCTGAAACCAGGCGACCCCTTACCTCTTTCAATGGTAAATATCGCACCTTCTGATTAAGATAAATGGGCATTGTTTTCACCGAAAGCAAGACAAATGAACAAACTTTAAGATGATACCAATAACCCCACATTTCCAATAATTGACGAGCGCCTGATTCCACCACGTCATGACACAAATGAGTTGTCACCACATTTCCCCAAAGCTCCTTCTATTGTATTACCTTTGGGGATTTTAGTTTTTCACTGACAGTGGGGCTCTCGTGGCCTAGAGGTTAAGGTGTTGGCCTCTCATTCAAAGGTACCGGGTTCGAATCCGGGTAGCGACCAAAAATTTTTCTTCTCTAAAATTGTCTTCTTTCACCTCCTTTCCTGCTCTCTAGCAATGTTCTGTCATCTGTTTTCGTCTACACTTTTTGCCCCCACCCCTTCACCTCCTTTGCCCCCTCCTCTGGGCTCCTGACTCTTTCTGCAGCCTTTCTACTGTTACTCATTGGCTCCTTCTTACTGCTGTCTTTCAGCCACACCCCTGATCTTCTGATAGGAAAGATCTACACCTAGCCTTCTTGGACATGGTCGAAAAATCTCGGAGGTCCCGTGTGCAAGTTGCGCACGTTAAAGATCCCTTTGTGGTCCAAAATCGATAAGAGTAGGCCTCGGCCCCCCCCGGCAAAATTTCAAATTTCCTACCAACTGAAAAAGTTTCTGTGTCCGCGCGCTCATATGACCTTATGCAGTTGCGACCGCGCTGTAAACTCTTACCCAACTCCCTCCCCCCCGCGCTCACAAAAAAAAAAAACTGAGTGTCGGGAAACAACACACAAACAAACAAACCTGTGAACAGTTGAAACTCTGTGTTGAACGGGACATGCAATGAATCCACTCAGAAATATGACACAAAGTTAGAGCCTAGATCTATTCAAAATTTCTAGTGGCCTGCTGGAGCAGGTATGGAAAGAAATGGTCTGCGCCTGGAGATTTAAATAGCAACCACATTCTTTGAGTTTGTTTTTTTTTAAGCAAAATCTTTTTTTTGTTGAAAATGTGCTCAGATTTTCTGGCGCATCCCATTTTTTATCTCATCCCTAAT